TGATTCCCATAGGAGAACGTTCTTAATTTCGATAAAATACCTTAATCAACATATTTTCACTAGAAAAAAACAGCAGAATCCATTGTATATACATGTTCTATGGCCAAAGATTAATAAATAGCCCAAGAATCAGGAAAATGATTTCTAATTAATCAGTAACTTAAAATAATATGTTTCTGTGAATATTGATTTCGTTTGTAAGAAGCTTCACAAATATAAAAGTCTTTGATGAATGAAGCGATAACAAAATGAGCTCGATAAATATAAAAATGAACTTACAACATTATATTGTAATACTTTACTTTGATATTGTGCTCTGTAATAATAAAGTTTGTCATAAGACAAATTCAGTGTTGTAAACATTTGTGTCGAATAATACAAATCAGTATGAAATATATAAAATAAATTTTTCGTTTTTCATTAAAACCCGAGTAGTAATTGTCGTTATCGAATAATATGATATACATTGATAGTATTAGTAAATCTCTTCCTAGTTATTGTAGAATATTCTTTTTGTGACGTTTTCGTTGTCGATGCTACCTTCTTCAGACTTTCTTGATGGTAAATAGAATGTACTACAACACACACACTTTATTATTATTATTTTTTCTTTTTTCTTCTCTGTTATTATTGTAATCTTGATAATCGATCGAAAGAAGATGACAACAATAAATCGCTTCTGCCAGCTATCACTGTCTTGCCGACCCACTATCAAAATCACAATAACTACAGAAAAGAAAAAAAAAAGAGAAGAAAAAAGAAAAAATAAGAATAAAGTGTGTGTTCTAGTACAGTTTATTTACCATCAAGAAAGTCTGAACAAGGTAGCATCGACTACCGAAACGTCACAAAATGAATATTCTATAATAACTAGGAAGAGATTTACCAACACTGACAATTAATTATGACGTTTCTTAACAAAAGTGAATGAATGTGATGTACAGGATGTTCCAAAAATAATCTAGTAAAAAGAACATAATTTATCTTCACTGTATTTCAGCCCATTGAGCTGATTCTGTTCTTGATAGTAAAGGAAACCTTTAAGTTTTTATTTGCAAAGACAAAATTTACGAATGATGTGGAAAATCATTACTATTGACTTCTCTACCAAATTGCAGCATTTTTCGGTATGGTAAAACAGTATACAACACTTTTTATTTAGTTACTTCAATTTTTTTCGTAATATTCGATCTTATATCTTCCAGACCTTTAACTCTTGATTTATAAACACTTTTTCCAATGTTTTTCTACACAACAAAAGTGTAACAGCATAAAGCTTAATGATTGTGAAGCCTATGATATCGTTCAAATCGTGTAGTTCATCAGGCACCAATGTTTTCATCGTGTTGAGGTCGAATTGCTTAGTATGAATGTATCGCTGATTGATTTCTTATTGAAAAATGTTCAAAAGAAGGTTTATATAGCAAATATGAAAGATTTGGACAGTTTAAAGTCGAATATTACGAAAAAATTGAAGTAACGAAATAACAAATGTCTTTTACTATTCTACCATACCGAAAAAATGCTTCAATTTGTTAGTAAAGTTAATAGTTATGGTTTTCAACATCATTCCTATCCCACACGCACCCACACCCTCGTTGAATACAATGATCGGTTGTCGTTACCCTAAGACTGGTTCTGGTATGGAGGTTCGCGAAAAGGGTACACAGCCTCGGTACCCTGCTTCTCGACCAGCATTTCCTGCCAATTTACAACATGTGGCACAGGTTGTGTATACTTTCCAAATCAAGAACAATGATCTGCCTATTGACTTGCTTCGAAGAGTACGCAATTCTCTCAGCATGGTCTCGGAATGAAAACCCCTTCGGGTAAATGCATTTACCATCATTCCAGATGGTTACGGCCATTTTAATAAAACATTTATCGTCTATTGGGATGAAGAAGATAAATACAAGTGTTGGAACAAAATATAAGAGAGCAGCTGGAATAGTGGCGATGAGTTTGTAAATGGTGATGTCAGATTTATCAGAGAAGAAATGTTATTGCCGTTGAATACTTTTGAGTGTCTCATTTCTGGCCCAGTTGGTTTTCAAGGTAGTGCTCCCATGCTGGTCGGTGAATATCCACATGAATCGGAGGAGAAATCTGATTATTTGGGTAGTATGAGAGATCGTTTGAAAATGTCGGAACAGAATTCACTAGATACTGATATTGTGAAATTGAGTTTACGTGAGAGTATAATGACATTGGGGAAAAAATACAAGTATTTCCAACAGATAATATTTGTCTCATCAACAGTGGACAAAATCTAATGAACTGTGATGAGGAAGAGAAATCTATATATTACGAAAAAGTAGAACCTGTTCTCAAAAAAGAAATGGCACTTTTACACGAGAACTCGGTGGATACTCATTGTATATCGTCATACCTATTAAATGGAGTTAATGATAATGATGAACCAATAGCCATGTTTTTATCGCATATATATATATATTTCACTAGCATGTCTCACTTGGAGAGTTGGACGTGGAATCATTCTACACATGGTGTTATCTACTATGCGTGTTTGAAGGAAATAATTCCAAGAGGTGAGAAAAATCAGATCAAATTATGGCACCAAGCGAATGTGTTACCAAAAGGTAATTTAAAATGATTGTATGTTAATGTGCATAATCAAACAGGGTTTTTGAGATACTCGAACTTTGATCAGAAAATATGGTAAACGAAAACCATAACTTTTTCAATTTGTATTTTTAAAATTTAATTAGCAATAAAGTAGTGGGTGGTCCAGTTTAAGTTGCTAATTTTTTTTAATAGGCTTTTTTCTTGATTTAGACGCGATCCGAGACGTTGGTTATTATGCTAAATGATAAAGAATTTTAAGTAGATTTTACTGATAAATTCTTTTCTGAATGAGCATTTAAAGTACTACATGCCAAAAAAAGACATAATTTTCTCAGCATTCAACTGAAATAAAATGAGATTTTTATTTGCTAAATAATTTTCTATACACTACTCAGACGTATTCTGAAAAAAATACAGAAACACATTTGGTTTTCAGAGCACAAAGCCAAATTTTTGAACTGCGTTCTACTATCATGAAAGCCATCCTGAAAATAAAGCATGTCTTAATCATATGCTTTTCGGCTGTCGCTCTTGTTCAATCAAAATTTGTAAGCCGAGAAGTGGCACCAATCAAATGTTGCTCATGTCTAGCATTCGTTCAATCAGTGCTTTTAGGTTGAGATGGTTTGAGTGCGAGTGTGACAGTGACTTCGCTGTTGGTGCACACGTGGTTGATTGATGTAGGTGTGGATTGTGGATATAGCCGCGAAATGTAAGTGCTGATATGGGGCATATATGAAACTGGTCTGGATTTTGATGATCCATATCGGTACCGATCGATCGACCAGTCTAAAATCTATATTGGTACTGGCTTTATTGTGTAGTCTGTCAATTAGTTAAAGGATATACACTTAGAAAGTGAGAGTGGGAAGAGGATGTGGACGTGTGGATATGGATTCCGGTGTGAATGGGCCTGGATGATTACTCTCTCTACACCCACACCCTCCTCCTTGTTGAACTCTCAATCACGCATTAACAAGATCAGTTGTTTAAACTTTGATTCCAGTTCATCTATATCCAGCTAACCCCCTCATCATCCTTTCACATATTAAACATTGTAGTGCAAACCAGAATTAATAATAAAATACCAAATAAATATTTTCCAAAAGCAGCTAGAAAAATGAGCAGAGCATTGCAACACTGGTTTCTATAGATCTGACTTTTAATTCAGTTGCTTTTATTTACAATACAACTGACAAAATTGTAGAGCGTCATACGATTGCTTGAGAACAAATAATAGTTTTTGATAGTAAAATATATATACTGTAAATGGAACATGAATCGTACTGATTTATTCATATGCATCTCAAAGTGATTGTTCTAAAAATGATTTATCATGTATGTATAAAATACAAGATACTAAAAGTCGATCTTTTACGTTTTGTGTCTAATGAAGATAGACATAATTCATTTAGTCTTAAATAAATAATAATAAGAAGCACGTACGATAGTACTATCACGTCTGGTTAACAATGATTTATTAATTAATATTTTTAATAAAATAGCAATTATTAAATTATCACTTATTTCTAAAATTATTTTCATCAAAACGGTTTATTCAATGATTATTATATGATAATTTATACATTACTCCTAATACATCACTCATATTATTAAATTGAAAATAACCTACGACCTTAAGCTAAAGCCAAAGACGGTTATAAATAAAATGAATCCATTATGCTGTATTATGAGAAGATTTTAGTTTTATCAATATACAAACAGTTAAAAGAGAAAATTTATCAGTCAACTCATCGTATTTTGGATAATATTTTGTAATGAATTTTTATTCAGTTTACCCAACCAAAAAGAAGAAGATCATTTGTTTAGGTTTATTTTCTATAATCACTTTCAAGAATAGTTAAAAGTGATTTCATTCGATTTCAAACATTATCTGATTAAGTATAAAGTGGAATAGCATCACTAGTAATCATTGCAATGCTAATTAACACGTGTTTATGTAAACCAAATGCAAATTCTCCTGGTATAACATATTTATTCAATATTTTTAATAAATCTTCGATAATATTTGCGTCTAGAATATTTGTCAAAAGCATTGAAGTGGATCTATAATGACCAGAAGTATGGAAACAAGAAAAGAATGAGTCATTCTTATTTTCATGCACACCCGCACCTATCAACAAGGGTATCTCTGGTCATAGATGTCGAAGGTTGATGGAATGATGGTAGGTTTTATATGGATTCATCTGAATAGTGCTTATGTCATATTTAAAGAGAAAGCAAGTAAAAAAAACAAATACAACGAGAAGATAAGAACAAGCGAAAAAAAAAAGAGATAGGAAAGCAATTACTTCTTTTTTTTTGTTTATTTCTTATCTCAAAAAGAAACGAATCACGTTGTTGGACGTCGATTTTAGATCATGTCATCGAGAACTATAGAAAATTCAAACGTCATGAAACAAGATGAACATTATAATCTTCATAGTACACCACAATTGACTGCTATAAAAAAATCATTTACTTACATTCAAAAAGCTGTTGAAGAACACAAAGCCAGTGTTAGTCTTACAGACATCTTCTTCATTGTCGATTACGGTTGTGCACATGGAGCAAACTCGCTGGTGGCTATTCAAGCAATTGTCGAAGCAGTACAACAGAAATATGGAACAGCTATATTAAATCAAATCTGTATCGTCTTTAATGATCTACTGACAAATGACTGGTCAACATTAATGAAAACTGTTTCAAGATCATCTTTCATCAGTTTGGCATCAGGCAAATCATTCTACGAACAGATGCTGCCATCAAACACAGTTCAGTTTGGATATACATCAACAGCAACACATTGGCTTTCAAAGAAACCATGTAATCTTCGTCGACATTGTTTCGTTTTAGCTGGACAATCAACAGCTGAAGAAATAACAATGTGGAAAGCACAAGCAGCTGAAGATTATAAACTGTTTTTACAACATCGATCGAATGAATTGAAGAAAGGTTTGTTTCGAGATAAGAAAAGAATTTTTTGATTCAACAAATAGCTTTCAGTGATGGATATAAAGGAAAGATAATGCGATTAAACATATTTATTAGCAGGAATATGTACATCACGGAAAATGTAGATTGATCGACGACATGTCTGCCATCTTGTTTACTCATATTAAAGTACAATCTCTTCAGACCTTTCAAAGTCCAAACTTTGAGTTAGTATCAGTATGAAATTGATTAACTTTATGCATGCCTACATCAAGCTCAACGATTGTTACAAATTCGCACTAATTGCATTATGATTCACGATGAGTCGCTATTCACTGATCTTTTTTGCCATTTTTGCATCATCGGCACTATCTTGCCTAATATGAATATCAAAATCTCATATATTTTGAATTACAGAACGCAAAATAAAAAGATTTTTGTTCACTATATTGTTTTTTTTTTGAAACAGAAAAACTTTTCTACTTTCTGTACTTTATCCTGCATGGTAGATTATTTGAGTAGGATGGCTTCCTTCATCTGTTCTTTCGTTCTTTTATATAAGTCTGAACTACAAAGTAAATTGGTGATTGCCGAGCCATAGGTACTTAAGCCATGAATTCAACGTGACATTGGATCTGGATTTACAAAAAAATTGATAGACACGAAATTCATGCACTCAAGACGAATTTTGTAGCCTGGACAGTTTTGCAAACTCAAAAAGTTTCTTCTTTTCTATTTCAGGTGCTATTCTTGTATGTGTCACACTCAGTCGTGATAGTTCAAATGATACTGGCAATCTACCAATATATCATAGTCTTTATCGATCAGCTAAGACTGTTCTCGCCGATGATGAATTATTAAATTATAACATACAAGATTATTATCGTAGTTTAGAAGAACAAACTGATCCTGCTCTGCTCAGTGAACTCAATTTTGAATTGATCTGTGCTGATTTATACTTATTACAACATCCAATATATGAAGATTATTGCCTGAAGAATATTGATTTTCAGGAATTTATTGAGAAATATACAGAATTCGTACGTAGTTGGTCAGAATCGACTTTGATCAGTTGTTTGAGGAAAGATCGAACGGAAGAAGAACAAACAAAAATCATTGAAAATTTTTGGAATGAATTTCGAAATGAAATTCAACATCAAGGAGCAGAAAACTTCAAAAAAAATCCGTATCGATCCTACATTGTATTGCGAAAGTTTTAATTTATATGTACAGCAAGATCTAAGAAGATATTTCTAGTTAATTATCTTCTATTCTTGTTGATCAATTAATCAATTATATTTAAATAAAAATAACTTAATATTGAATTATTATTTCTTTATCTATTTATTCGTTATTCGAAAACATTTTGGAGACTTTCCAATTGTCTTCGTCAGTTGATTTTCTTTCATATTAGGGTGTGAATGTGAGTAAAAAGAATGCCTTGACAAACATCCATACCCTTCACATCTGACCTGAGACTACGTACAGGCAAAATTTCATTGATATACATGAAATCAATTGAGTATATGATTCATATTTCTGTCAGCTTGTATTTTCCATGTCTCCTATGCACCATTTTTGCTTTCAAGTAACTTATAAACGCTCTGTGAATACGATTCAGGAACCTTTCGAATATCATTTCTCAATCTTTGAAGAAAGTTCTTTGAGATTATTTGTTCGAGTGACACAACATTTATTGTTGGTATTTTCATTAATAAAAACTGTGGAATTCATAAAGTAAGATTATCTAGTTATTGTGAACAAGTAATTTCACCAATAGTGAAGAGTATCTGTAGATTTCAAAAAAGTACAAACAACAATCTACTCCATTGATCAATGTCCAAATATCAAAGATTGATTTAACTAACTGAATAGGTTTTAGAAAAAATATCTTTCATTTTCTTAGTACAATAAAGCATTCTATTCTTTCGTGTATTTCAAATCCTAATAATTCCATTACTATCAATAACATGATCAACCAGACCTAACTCAACAAACTTACTACCATGTGCTAATGGGTGAACTAATCATCATTGATTATTATATTGAAACGCTACTAAAATATTAACAAAGTGATGATGTTCGACTTTTAAATGCAGCTTTAATTAAGATTTCCCTCGGATGTCCGATATATCTAATCGTGAAGATACAAACAATTGGTGTCATTCGTAACAATTTTGAGAACTATTGCTAAGCATCACGAAACAATGCGTCATTTCTCGAATTTCCTTGACGAAGTTAGGCTAACAGCAGATCGTCCACAACTTGCATCCTTACCTAAGCTTGTCAAAAAAATGAACATGAATTATACTTCAAGGGACATTCTAGGAACAATGACTTATCATAACTGAATCTCATGTGGTACTTGCGTGTTTCAGAGTGATTTGAAGAAACTTCGGAAATAAAAGTATCATGTGTGCAGCAGAACACGCCATTCTCTTTGCCTTTACACGTTCGTTTCCATTTCGTTTATGTGAAAAATATTCCGACAAGAATAAATAAAATAACGATTGTATTGTATTGCTAACATGTCATATTTCCAATAGAGAATGATATGTTGTATTTTTATATTCGTTATATTGTTTGTCAATAGTCTAGTGGAAATTTTTTATACTGATGTCAGATTATATGAGTTTCAGTGAAAGAGAAAGAACTAAAGTGATTGAGAAAAACAGATGCGACTGTGAAGTTGAATATGAGTGATCCTTCCATCGAGAATCACAATCACATACGCATACCATCGTATTCGCAACCGATAAAAACCGCGATTGACTACGTTTTTCTTTGAGAATAAAAACAAACTCAGGCATGTGTCGTTTTTTTAGAACATGAAATGTCATCTTTATTAAGGGATAATCAGGTGATTGCTTATCTCATTACTCAGTTTCATATATTTCATATAGTAGAATATCAAAAACAATTACACAAATAAAATACAGAGTAATTTTGTCTTATTGCTTTCGGGAACAAGGAAGTAATAAGCTCTACTGAATTATTGATCGTGTATTTGATGCAAATGGATAGCTTCTAAATTATTCACTTCGTCATTTATTCTTTCAATATCTATAAACACAAATTGATGATTAGAAAAGATTCTATTGTTAATCTGAAAGAGTCATATTGAGTTTCTTGAGAATTTTTTTCATGAGTGTCAAATATACACACAACAAGGAATAATGACATATAGTTTCTTACATCATTAATGTTCGTCATCAAAGTATTGAATAATTCCAATAGAAGTCTCATGGAAATACTCTCTTGTTCAATTTGACATCTTTTTTATTGATTTGTCGTCTTTAGGACAGTTATATTGTACATAATAGCTTTAATAATAGCATGGATTCAGAAGAAGAAGAAGAAGAAGAAGAGCATCCTTTGTCTCAAAACAAAACTAACAACAATCAAATCAATACCGATTTTTATTTAGTAATATATATAAGATACATATAATAAAAACAAGACCTGTTTAATATCTTTGTTAACGCTGTTATTTTTGTATTATAATTTTAAGATGATCGACCAAAAGATTATCTATTACTTGTAAAGTTTGTCTTTAAAAAATCAATTAATTTGATAGTGTACAAAAATCATATTAGACAAATATATTTCTTGCAGAACCTCTGATAGGCAAGTTTTTTGTGCTACACAATACAAAATAAAAATGAATTTTGTTCTTGTTCTGTTAGAAGAACTCCCTTTTTCTTTTTACAGATCGTGAGATTTGTTGTGAAAATGATATCATGCACACAGTTTTCTTTTTCTGACCACAAATAAATTTAGTTTATTAAAAAGAATTAATATTTTAATAGCTAATGCAAACTTTTTATTGTTTTTCGTATTTAATAACAGTTAAAATCAACATAATTATCAAATAAAAGGGTTCGATATCAAAAGTTGAACGAAAATTAATATAAAATCATTAATAGATTGAAATTTTGATCAATGTGTGTTATTTTGTTGTTTTCATGTTAATGATGTCTTTTTTATCCAAGTTTAACGAGGGAAAGGTATCATACCTAGCATACCCCTCAAATTTCGTTAATTTGTAGGGTCAATCTACAAGAGTCTATGGTTAAAATATTTCGTGGGTTGGATGTTATTTGGTCGAGTTATAAAAATTGGTTTTTCCAGATATTTTATGTCAGCGAACAATTATATTATCGAGTAACTGGTTCGTTACCAATTACTCGATAACGTAACGATAACTTTCCTCCCCTATCCACATCCTCTTGCCCACATCTATGAATAAGAATCTTTGTTCTTCAATAAGTCGTCGAAGAAATTGATTTGTTTCTTGCTCATCGCAAGAATCTATCATTGGCATATTACTATCATTAATAAATATCGTGATTTTACCCTCATATGACGAACCAAATGTATTTACAATATGTTTATCAACAAATTTTTTAATTTTTTAAAACTAATTATTGTTATTGACAACATATTTATTATACGTGTGAAATTTTATTCAGTATAATAGTTTTTTAAATAACAACATAATAATTATAACAATTTTAGCAGTACAATGTTCATATATGAATAATTCAACTTTCTCGTGTTTTTGAAAGTACATTAATAAGGTATGGAATACGAACATTATTAATATTAGAAACAAAACTCGATTTCTTCATCTTTAGAATAATCTCCTGATTGAAAACGAGTCAAGCAATCTTTTTCAATTGAAAGTCATACGTAGATGATAAATCATTTAACTTTACTCGATTTAACTATGATTATTAACTAAATAATGAAACATTGAATTACTTTGATTAATAGTATATTGTTCAAGTTTATTCCGATCATTTAATTTTAATAAGGGAATTCATACTAAAACTAATCAAAATATTAATCATTTACCTCCTATAGGCTCATTTTTGACCTATTCATAAAAACTAGCTATATGGAATAATAAAGCATCGGATCCAGATATTTATAGAACATTATGTAGAGAAAACAATTAAATTTCTTTTCATCATTCATTGGTTATGATATTTAAGTTGAAAAATAGTATTTTTTCATAGAAGTGAAGAACTCTAAAATATACAGGGTGTCCGGAAAGTCACCTACCAAAAACAAATTTGAATATCTCCCTAACAGCTAGAGCAAACAAGCTGATTTTTTTATCAATAATCGAGACATGTTTCAAGTTTATATCGATAAAGACATGCTTAGAAAAATCCTTTGTTAAGTATCACCATTAGCCTCAACAAAAAAATTTTTACTTTTCTCACAGATAGGAAAAAAACAATATACTTAACAAAGGATCTCTCTAGGCATGTCTTTATGAATNCGAAAAAGTCACTTTACCGACAAAAAGAGTTGAATATCTCCACTACAGCTCGGGCAAACGAGCTGACTATTTTATCAATGATAGAGATACGTTCAAACTTTATATTCATAAAGACATGCCTAGAGAGATCCTTTGTTAAGTATATTGTTTTTTTCCTATCTGTGAGAAAAGTAAAATTTTTTTTGTTGAGGCCAATGGTGATACTTAACAAAGGATTTTTCTAAGCATGTCTTTATCGATATAAACTTGAAACATGTCTCGATTATTGATAAAAAAATCAGCTTGTTTGCTCTAGCTGTTAGGGAGATATTCAAATTTGTTTTTTGTAGGTGACTTTTCGGACACCCTGTATATTGTGAAACACTCAAAATTTAGTGTTGAAATTTATAAGGTAAAAATTTCAAGCCAACCCCCCCCCCACAGACCTTATATCGCAATAAGGTCTCTTTAGAACATGTCAACTACTTCCGTATTACATTTCTGAAGGATCAAATAAGAGGATGATGAAGAAATGTGCTCCAAAATATTTAGAGAAAACAATCTTCATGAAATTTAGCAGCAGTTATATAGTGTATCACAATATAATGCTGTAGAAATTCAGCCATAAACATAAATTTCACTACAAATCCATTGTTTGATTATATCAAAAACATTATTCTCATAGGTAACTCAGCAAACTCTATCGAATCATGACAAAAAAAAATGTAAAAAGACTTCGCTCGAATTCTGAATTGTTGGTACCTTACTCAATGACGTATTCATTTTTATATATACACTAATTGTTTTAATTCTTTTTACTTCAAACATAAAAAATTAAATTAAAAAAAAAATATATCGTTTAGCATATTCTTTCATTGCTATCATCATATTTTCATTGATTTAAAAACTATTAAATTATATAACCAGCTGTCTTTATATGCATATTTAATATAAGGAAGAAGGATGAAACAGAATAGTCAAGTTTTCCGACGCAGACACGAGAAAAAAAAAATAATGAGAGTGTTAAAACAAAACAAAACAAAACAAACATACAAACAAACAAACAAGCACATCATATCTTTTTTGTTTCGCTCAATCTAATATACAAAATGTAACAAGACCATAAACATACACATATTATATACTTTATATACGCAAATAGAAAACAAATACACTCAATATAAGTTTCGCTTAAAATGCGAAGAACAACATAGATATAGACGAATAATAGAGATGAACAAGAATAAAACAAAAGAAAAAAAAAAGAATTGTTTTTCTTTTCTGTATAGAGGAATCGCCGAAATGAAAAAAAAACACAAATAGAATACCGATGATGAGAAAAAAACAAGCAACAAAACAAAAAACCTTTAACCAAGAAAAAGAGAAAAGGCCGACCAGATAAATTTTCATGCTATTTTTTTTTCACTTATAAATTTTGATCTTTAGTCATTAAATTTTCAAGTAATTGACGAAAACAATTATCAACAACATTAGCACATTGTGAAAATGCTGAATCAATTGGATTAAATTGTCGACAATTATTAAAGATTTTATTAACATCACGTATAAAATCACATATAGTTCGAAATTTATTATTTAGAACTTTTGTTTTTAATGTTGTTAAATCTTATAAAGAAGATTTTCAATATTTTTTTTTTTTTCTTCAAAAAATAATTTCAAATTTCTTACCCATTGGATCTTTTATAATCTTATAATAATTCGGTACATCTTTAACATCAACCGGTTTTTGAAATGGCCATGACATTTTATGTGCCTATTAACAAAATTAAAAGTAAAAATTTGTTTTTTGTTTTTTTGTAAAATATAAATTTTTTTCGTACCAAAAGTTGATCAATAAGATTTATTAATTTTTTTCTCGTTTCACCAACTATTGGTTTATTTAAAAATTCTTGTTTTTTTTCTGTTGAACATCTCGGACAAACATATACTTCAAATTTTTCTGCATCTTCAGGTGTTATATTAACACATGAACCATGTAACCAATCGGCACAAACATCACAACCAATATAAAATCTAATTAAATAAGAAAATTTTCCAAGCGAAATTTTTAAACAAAAAGAAAAATTTTACTTTGATTCATCATATGGTGTTTGACATATACAATATAAACGTTCTTTCGCTCGTTGTGTTAATATTGCACAATCTTCACATATAAATTCATTCATTTTTTCAGCAAGACGTGGTGTTAAACCAACACATTTACCATGTAACCAACGCGAACATAATTCACATTGAATAAAAAATTTTTCTTGAATATCATTATTACGTTTACAATTACAATCGATATTTTCCGGTTTAAAATCTGATGATAATTTATGACTTTTTCTTTGTATAGAAGCATTTATAGTTGTTATCAATTTAGGTTTTATTTTTGATATTGTTGATGATGATTTACGATTGGTTAGAAAATTTTCATCATTATCAGATAAATCATGAACATTATTACTACGTGGACGACGTACTTTTTTCGATGGTGGTGATTGATCATCATCTGTAAGTTTAGTTGATGCCATTGGACGTGTTCGTTTTGATGTTGTACTAAAATATAACATTAAAATTCAATAATATTAATAGTTTAATTCACATGAGTTTATGTACTGGCTGTAAGTATTTACAATGAAGACAGACTCGAAGTTTCATATTAGTTTATACATTAATGACTCTGAGAAACAAGCAAAAATGAAAAGAATACTCACGTCGATATTACTATAGAGACAATCGAAATGACTATGAAAGTCATTCATTTTCAATAGTGAAGAAATCATGTTTTGTTATTATTTTGGTATTTTCAAAATCTTAATAGAATGAAGTCGAATAGATGTGAAAACTTCATTAGATACGAAGCGTTTTTTACAATTTTATAATTGGAATAGAGACTAATAATATCATGAAAAGATAAACATTGAATTTGAACCTTGTGTAAACAATTAGAAGAAACAGACGTTATGATGGAATCAATTATTATGAAATGATTTTGTTTTTCTTAATGTTTATTTCTTCAGGTAGTTAACTTTAGTTTCTCTAGTATCATTTGTTAAAGTCTCTTCATCTATCGATAGTAATTCGGTTATACGCTTTTCTACGAAACAAATCAGTTCTTTGCATAAATCATTAAAAAGTAACATTAGAGCATTCATTCGTAAAATCACAAATATCTTGTTTTCGAACCTTTGGTCAGTTTTGACAAACATCATAGGACGAATATTCATTTTGATCGATTCTGAGTGAAATTTTTTTAATATCTACGATATAGAAAAAAACCACGCATTTGTATGCTATCGACATTGTTCCATAAGATTGTCATATTCGTTTTTTTTTTTTTAATTTTACTCAGAGAAGTGGACAGGCCTTGTACAATTTAATAACAGCTAATGATAAAGTGATATCAACCTTAAGATTGATACTAGTGACACAGACAACTTAATTTTTTAGCTAGTTGATTCTTTATTGATGTAGAAAGGTCCATAGAATGTATTTTGCTTAGACAATAAATATATTTTTTTGCTTTATTTTACAATATACCTCAGTAAATATCAATCATATATCAAATCCTTTGCTCAGTACATTCGTAATGAATATTGATAAAATATGATAAAGACTTTAAAAATTACCTTTTGATATTTTGTTCAGATGATTTTGGTGTTGCTTGTCGTTTATGTTTAGTTTCATTTCCATAGATTTTTTTTGTTTTTTTAGCTGGCGGCGAATCATCTTTATTATTAGTGGTAGTATTAGTGTTATCATCATCGGATATAAATTGATCTTGTTTAATATTAGTTGCTTGTTGTTGTTGTTTAAGTATAATTTGTTGTTGTTGTTTAAGACGTTGTATTTGAAATTGTTCTTTAACTAAAGCTGTTTTACGTTCGGAACGATTTTTAATAAATTCTTGTCGAAGAATATCAACACGTTCATTTAATAAACGTGTTAAAATAATTTGTCGATGCTCCAATTTCGGTATTGTTGTACTATGTTTTTCTAAACGTGTTTTAATTGATTCTTGATTTTGTTCACGTTCAATTCGACCAATAAGTGATCGAAGAATTGTTTCACAAATTTTCATTCTTTACACAAACAAAAAAAATGAATAAAAGTTTCTCGAAAAAAAGAATTTTTTTTTTTTTTTTTTTTTTCTACCTAATGCCTTCTTCAGGATCAATTTTAGGTGGTAAAGTTGTGGTTGCTAGTCGTTTAATTGGTGTTTTTTGAGTTTTTGTTTCAATTGTTGATGTTTGAGGTATTGAAACTTGTCTTGGTGTCATTTTTTTACCTGAATCTTTTATAATTGATGTTGCTTTATTTTCTAATCGAGCTTTTGTTGTTGGTTTTTCATCATTTGTTATTGTTTTACGTACATGTTTCGGTTTTTGTTGTATTGTTGGAGATGATACAACAGGTAAAGATGTTTGTCGTTCAATAGGTAATGATGACTCAATTTTACGTTTATTATTATTATTATTATTATTTATTTTTAATGACGAACCATTACTATCAAGTGTGACTGTTTCGGATATAATTGGTAATGAATCATCTTCACCTGCTAATAAAACACTAGCAGTTGGATCAAATCGTAATAACATTTCAGGTGATGATGCATTTAATTGTTGTTGTTGTTGAGCTAAAATTGAATTTAATAAATCATTGGTTGTTGAAGATAAAGATGTTGGCGCAGGTGCTATCGGACGTAAACGACGTTCTTGTGGTGATATTGATTGCTGTTGTTGTTGTGAACATTTAATATTTGTTGATGGAGATGTTAAATTCGTTATTTGTATTGTACTAACACGTGATGTATTTTGTTCTTTAGTTATTCGTTTTATTGTTGAAATAGTACCAGTTGGATTTGGTGGACTTGTTGATGATGCTTTTATTATTCTTGATATACCATTTTCATTAACAATTAATTGTTGTTGTGGTTGAATATTTGTTGGTACAAGAAGAATTTGTCCATCAGCTAATTTAACAACGGAAAAAGATTTTGTAGGTTGTTGTTGTTGTGGTAGTGTTGATGTTAATGTTGTTGATTGATTTAATGTTGGAGTTGTTTTAACAATAACAACTTTTCCACTTTCAGGATGTAATGGAGATTTTGTTTGAATATGTGGTATACGTACAATGAATGGTTTAGATGATTGTGTAGTTGCTGATAGTGGATCATTGATAATTGTTGTTTTTTCTATAATGCGTGGATTCATTCTGATTTAGGTTTTATTTTTATTTATTGATAAACACTGTTCGAGATTTATAATTGTCTAATAATGATATGTTAGTATTTAGATTTAAGGACAAGTTTTTATATTCAAATGTCCCATCTAGAATAAATAGAAAATATTAAAAAACAATATTTCAATTCTTACACACGTTCATTCAAGAAAATAAAACGCTTATCATAACTTTATAATTTATCATCTAGTATTAGATACAACATAACGAGAGAGAGCCTCTCGAGATATCTTCTTCCGATATCAATGATTCTTTTTTTCTACAAATAATGAATAGAATTATACGGAAGATCGTAAATATTATTCACTATACTTCGAGACTTTTCCAACAATCGACTGTACCTGAAATCTTCAGATGACCTATGAATACCTAGAGATCTGTTTTTATGTAAAGTTACAAGTCGAATCTCAGTTTTCCTGAGGAGGGTCAGGATATTCTAATAATAAAAAAATATAGCAGTTCGGCACTCACATTCTGTTAACTCGAACTCTTTTTCAGGTATTCATAGCTCAAAACCAATTTGACACTTAGAAATATTCTATCGAAAGTTGATACTCTACTGTAAATATTCACCATAATAAGGAAATAACAAAATGTGATGAGATGTGCAGGCTCGCAATTGATGATTCTATTCTCATAAAAGAATAACATTAATTTTAAAGTAATAATTCAATTATACATTAAAGCTTGAAGATGTCTTTCCATATTCATCCGTTGTAGATTGATATTTACACCAAAAAGCAAAGAAGATAATCTCCAAAATAATATATCATTTATTTATTCATAGAAATATTTTCAAAATGACACTATCTTTATTGTTTTCATACTTCTCAATTTCTAAAACACCCAAATATTCACATTGCACGAACTAAAATACAATTTGAGCCATTGCAGAATTCCTAAAGACACCATCTCACCTTAAACTGAGCCATAATTCGATTAGATGAGTCATTTCAGACATCATCTTTCATTATTCAACTTACTTCTTTGCTAAAAAGAACCAATAACTTTTTTCTTACTTTCAAGATAATCATTAAATAAATTACAATAAAATTCATAATTTTTTTGTAATATAATGCAATATGAATAACTTTCAATGTGTAATATATAAAAATTTAATCTTGCAAAAAACATTTTTCTTGTTACTATTGTATTCTATCTTCTCATAATCAAAAAGAAAAAAAGAAAGAAAACCATCGTGCTGAGTGCTTTTAATACATCCACCATATTAATTGTATGGTATTCTCTTTATTTAAAACCTCTAAATATGTGTCAAGTTTTGACAAATAGAAAAATTCCATCTATAATAATATATTTTAAAAAATTACTTTCAAATGAATTTTTTTTCTCTTCTTTTTTTATTTTATTTAAAAAGTAAAACGAATTTTTTCTGTTTGAAGATATATGTTTCATAGTGACATCTATAAAATTCGAATTTTAATCAAATTGATTATTAAAATTAATTTTTTAAATTTTCTTTTAATATGAAAAATTCAATTTTAGAACTGTCTTATGAGAGGCGGTAAAACATTCAAAGAAGATAAACTATGGATATGGTTTTGTTCAAGAGAACAACGAAGACGAAATTATTATTTCGAAAAAAAAAACGATTTCTTTTACAATGACAGCTGAAAATAAAACAGATGAATATATTAAACTTCGGGTTGTTGGACAAGATAATAGTAAGAAATATAGAAAATTATTATTTAGAGTCTTTTTTAATTATGATCTTTTATAGGTGAAGTTCATTTTAAAGTTAAAATGACAACTAGTATGGCTAAATTGAAAAAATCATATGCCGAACGACAGGGTAACATTTTTTTTTCCATCAAAAATTCTTTATTTTTTATGAGCTTCTTTTTAGGTGTTGGTATGGCAACATTAAGGTAAATAAAGAAATTTTAATAGTTTATAAATGAATTCAATTCTTTTTTTTTTATTTGATTAAGATTTTTGTTCGATGGTAAACGTATTAATGATGATGAAACTCCTAAACAATTAGAAATGGAAGATAACGATACTATTGAAGTTTACCAAGAACAAGTAAAAATTAATTTTTCTCAAATATCTTTTATTTTTTATTGAATTTATTTTTAGGTGGGTGGTCATTCTGAGTAACATTCTCATATAATTATGTCTTATGTCTGTATATATCAGCAAACAAAAAGAAGTTCGATTGATCACTTTTCTTTCTCTCTTTTTTTTTTTTGGTGAATAATAAAGAAAAAAAAACAAAATAATCGATATCCATCCCCAATCAATAAAATGAAATAATAAGAAAAAAAGATAAGAACAAATAAATGGAAACAAACAAATCATGGATTAGTCTTGTTTTGTTTTTTTTAGAAAAAAAATAAGAGACGAAAAGATAAATCTATTTACAGATGAGAAAAGAGAAGATAAAGAAAAAAAAGATTTTAAACAAGTCATCACATTCTATGTACGTTAATTTAAATCAATAGTATATAACTACGATTTCTATTACAGACTTTCTGCTTCTCCTGAATCGGATTCTCTATGAGATTGAAGAGCTGATGACGAAACTGTACGGCGAAATGATGATGATGAAGTTCGACCACATTGTGATTGTTGTGAACATACTAATGTTTGATCTTGTCCATTAACAATAGTTTGATTTTGTTGACGATTGTCGCAACATAATAGATGTGGAACTTCAAGTTGTAACATACGTTGGTAAAATGTATCTTGACGTAATTCACTTGCTTTTGGACGATCATGTGATGAATAGGATAAAAGCCAACGAATTAAACGACACTATAAACCAAAAAAAAAAAATTCGTTTAAAAATTATAAAATTTTTCTTTACTTACAATTAATTGATTACGATTATTACCATCACGTTCAAAATCATTTGGAAATACTGGTGTTTGAAGACGAACATTTGCTATAGCTCGCATACGTTCCATTTGTGTCGAGAACGGATAAAGAAGTTCAAATAGAATAATACCCATTGCATAGATATCAACTTTTTGATTATATGGTTGACGATTTATCTTTAAAATGAAAAATATTCATTATCTACTTATTATAGACTAATAGTAAAAATTATTTTTTATGAGAACAAATTAGATATGAACAAGATATTTCCGTTGATGTTTAAACCAAATACTTAGATTTCATTTATCAATTTATATAAGGAAAATCAATTAGTTTCATTGAGAAGAAAAATAAACTGTTTATGATTTTTTTTTTGTTTTGATAAGTTTACCTGTTCCGGACTCATATAAAGCATAGTACCACCAACTTCATTATTTTCACAGCCATCTGTTGTTATTGATATTGTTTCATTTTGTTGTATTGGATCAAAATTTTCATCATCACGTTTCTTTTTTTTGGCTATTTTATCTTCACCAAAAGCAGATACAAGACCAAAGTCACCTATTTTCACTGTATTATCCATTGAAAAAAGAATATTCGATGGTTTTAGATCACGATGAATCTAAAGATAAAATATTTTTTTCGTATTTTTTTGCTGAAAACAAAAACGTTTTGTTTTTTCTTTACCAATTTTTGTGAATGAATATATTCAATACCCCTAGTAATTTGATCAAATATGGACCAAGCTTGATGTCGATCAATAGTTCTCTGTATTAAACGATCACGTAATGATTCTGGTTGACATAATTCCATAACAAAATAAAAATATGTCGGTGGACAATCTTTTTCATTAGTTAATGATTTCTTTTTTTCAACTAAAGATTTTGTTTGTGTTTGTACAGGAGATGGAGTTGATGATGATCGTTGTTCGTCATGTAAAAATACAATGCCATCATCACTTTCTGTTACTTCTTTATGTGATGGAGTTTTTTCATTGAATTCATTTGAAGATATTGATGAATCTGATGAATGATCAAATAATGGTGATGATGATGATAGAGAACGTTTTGTTGTTGTACGAAGACATTTTGTTGATTTATTATTATTATTTGCATCTAATTGATTATTTGTTTGATTATCTGATGATGATGAAAAACTCATATCAGATTTATTATTATCATTATTATTAATACTATTCGTTGAAAAATCTTCATCAATACGAAGTGGATTTGATGAACGATCAAATGTTATGTCGAATAATGATGGAGAAGTTGTTGTTGGTTTAATTATGGACACAGATGGTACAGAAGAATTTTTCGAATTTTTTGTTTGAATTATTGATTCACTATCATTTCCTGATGCTGCTGATGTTGGAAAAGTACTTATTGAATCTCTGAGAATTTAAAAAATAAATAAACATAGAATTGAATTATTTAAACAAAAATAGAATTCTTGTTTCAAGTAACAACTTCAAACAAACCGATCGTTTTGTATATTTTTTTAGACGTATTGTTTATTCAGAATATTAATTCAACAATAAGTCAAAATAATTCTTTTCATGACTAGTATAACTGGGAAATATATAATTTTAAATGATAGAAAGTTCCTATGATTTTTTCATAATGATAAAATAACTTGAAGTATCACTTCAGAATACGAAAATCTAGTAGCTAATAATATCTTCCAGACACTAATCTAGTAGGGTTCCTGTTGAGTCAACTATGGGAATAACTTATGCAAATGCTGATTATGACATCTAATTATCATGAATTATTTGTTTTTTATCTAAAAGACACTTTCAATAGCGGCTACTTTCGAATAGCAATCAGGTCTTTCGTTTTCGGCATTGTTAGTCTCCAGTTGCTTATTATAATATAGAATCATTCGATTTTATTGTGATTCAAAAGAAAATTTTAAAAACTACTCTATATTCGAGAATAATCATCTCGATTCGATACTTGATTCTACTTTCTTTCTATTAGACTTCTTTTATTGAATGTTAATAAAGATCGTAATTTTCGTATAAATTTCATACCTTGTATTGATATTATTTCTCATTAATAATGTTTTATCTTCTTCTTCTTGCCATCCAACTGGTGGACTTTCATTCCAAGCATAATAATATTGTATTAAATTTGGATGATTTAATACAGCTAAATATCGAATTTCTTTTAATGCACGTTCTTTTCCCGATGCTCTTGAAAAATCAAAAGAAAAAATTTACAAAAAAACATTTCTATTTAAAAAAGTAAAGTATTACTTTTTCAATGAAACACGTTTAATTGCAACACATCGTTGATCTAATTTATTAATTGCTTCAAATACAACACCAAATCCACCACGTCCAAGAAATCGAACATGTTCATATTCAAGTGTATATCTAAATAAAACGTATTACAAAGAAAAGAAATGAACAAATTATTTAAATTATAATTTTTACCTAGATTGAAATGGTGGTATGAATGGTTTTTCTAATTGACAATATTCAGGTGTTGATGATGGAGTTAATATTGTACTATTACTACTCTCTGTTATCATTGATTCTTGACGTTTAAATCGAAATTGATTTTGTTTCAAATACCACATTAAGAAAATAATCAAGGCACCAAGAAAAATACTTGATATTGTTAATGTATTTGTTGGTATATATACAGTTACATGAGCATTTACATTAATTTCAAATTTTTTCTTATCATGTTCTTCAGTAAGATAATCATTTCGATTAGTAAATAATTGTAAATAACCAGCTTCATTGCATGTTTCAATATTAGATGATGATGATGATGCTAATGAATCAGTGTGATGATATTGTGTTGAATCTGGTCGTAATGCTAATGGAAAACTATGATCAGATGTTGATTCACTAGTTCGACTATGATCATTATTTTCGGGTATTTCAGAACCAATTGATAATGTACGTTTTTGATATGCTTTATGCCAAGATGATAATATTGGGCGTTTGTTACCGATTAGTCCAGGAACTAAAATAGAATATTCATTTTTATCATACAAAATAGATTTATTTACATATATTGACAATTATTACCTTTTCTAGCATCATGAATTAATTCTTTTTGAACATCTGCTGATACAATAACATATGGTGTTGAATTAAATTCTCCAACAAATGCTAGACGACGTGATAATGGTGGTGAAGCAAAATCTTCCTCGTCAACTATAAAAAATTTATAAATGAAACAAAATTATTATATGTCCTTTCTCTTGGCTGATGGTCTAGCAGTGGTTATTACTCATCCGTCGACCTCTCAAACTCTAGTCGTTAAGCTGATTAATTATTCAACAATTCAAATGATGGAGGCTATACGAGCGGCGGCCTATCCAAATCTAGTCTTGAATGTGATGATCATTCGATCGCATGGTTGACATCGTACAAGTATTTAGACTAGTGGATAATAACAAAATTAGGTTGGGAACAGTTCATTAGTCGTATTCAAATTAAAATCTATCAACAAGCTGTTATTTAGAGTTCATTGAATGCAAAACTTTCTAATCGGAATTGGTCTGTCGCCTCGAGGATACATGATTTTTTTTCTCCTTTTTTTTTTGTATAAAAAGATTAGCATGTCTGACACATTTCTCAGACGACTAGATCCCATCGGGTGCGACTCTCGGATCAACTCGAGGGATTCTATTGGTATGATCAACGCCTACTATAGAGTTGATTTTTATTTTCAACATTCACAATACCTTTTTTCACGCAACTTTATCTGTGCTATGACCGATTCTCAGATTTGAAACGAACAAATCTTAATCATTTTTATTATGCATCATTCAAGCGAAGTTATCACTGTCTTTATTGGAATAATTAATTTTTTCCATTTGTTGACGACGAATGTACATTTGATGACTTATATTCTATACGTATTGGACAAAATATCTTAGGAGAATCGACAAGTCCTTGAACGGTTATCTGTTGCTAGAGCAATCATGCTTAAATGTGAATTAGTCCAAGTAGCAGAAAGAGAAAAAGATCAATTTGTTTTCTATATTGTTCTAAGGGATTTGTCTCATATGTAGATGTATTAGACCGTATCTAAATTGGTTATTAAATCACAGTTTATGTATCTCCGTAGCAATTGTCAATGTGGATGATATTAGATGCTATACTGAATTTTCAGAGATGTTCGAGTGTACAGGATTGTTCTTCGTCTATTACCTCCTCTAACAGATACACACTTGTTATTAGGTAGCTGTTTTTTTAGGATCAGAGAGTAATACATAAAAGAGAATTATTATGTTTTTGTTTTACTTGAATCATCTCTTGAAAAATGATTGAATGCTGTTGTTTCAAATAAAGATTTTTCATTTAATTGACCATTTTTTAATTCCCATACAGCAGCTATTGGTGCATTTATTGGTGAAGACCAAGTAGGATGTCCAGTCTTATCAAATGCTAAGACTACACCAGTTTGTAATTGATATTCAAAATAACCTTTTGAAACGAATAGATAAATAAATAAATAAATAATTTATTTCAAAGATCTGTTTTTTTCTTTTCTTTACCAGAAAATGCTGTTTCACCATCAATTTGTCCAAGAACAACCGCAGCTGGTTGAGCACGTAAATGAAGTAAGTGATGATTTGAAACACTAAATTAATATAAATTCTATTTATTAAAGTAGATTTTAAAAAGCTTTATTTGTTTTACCTAAAATTCCATTTTTCGTGTCCATTTCGAGCACTTCTTGCTTTTACAGTTTGTGTTGTTCGTTTAACAATTAATGTTGGTCTAGAATCAGTACTATCTGTTTTTGTTGTTGTTCGATTATTATCTATTGAATTCGTTTGTTTCGGATCATCCTTTGAAAATGAATAAAGTACCTAAAACAAAACAAAAAAATACCTATTTAATTGTTCTTTTCGTTTTGTTTTTATTTCATACTTGTCCAGTATGTAAATCTAGACCAAGTGTATCAATATGTTTTCCACCTGTAATCACTAATTCTTCGTGAAGTTTAAATGATGCATCAAGTAAATCACCGGCATCAAATGGTAATGGTTCAACATGTCCATCTTCATCATATTTTTCATAAAGACCACCAATAAGTGATGGAATAAGACGAACTGAACGTGATTCACGAGATATTTCAATTTTACTTAAACTTGAATCAATTAATGGTGCTCCTGTATCAGCTGTCCATAGCTGACGACCATTTGCATGAGCATCGATTGCAGTTATTTTACCATCCAAAGAAATTACATATAAAGTATGACTAAAAACAAAACAACAACAAATATTTGATTCATGTTACATACCTAATTTAATAATCTTTATTCTTGATACAATAAATTTCTCAATTAGTAAAATCTCACTTGAAAATGAAGATTTACGTGATCCCACCGACTCTAGTCATCGAATAAAAAAGTTCAGATACGAAAAACTTCAATTAGAGTGATCGCGAGACCATCATCAGTACAGAACGCTCTGATATGTTAGCATTCTGGTCTCAAGATAGGACGAGCTAGTTTGCTCTGGTAACATGTTTTATAGTCATTGGAAATCGTTTACAAGAATTCAAACATGAACATTTCAGAACATTGGTCATCTATTTAATTCTTTCAACTAGTGATGAATTCATGTTTAGATCGATTTCACTAGAGCTTATGTTTATGATATTCATTCTAGACAATCTTTTTTGGCTTCGAAGAAACGAACCTCGATCTGATGCTAGATAATGATGAAAGACTTTGAATCAATTAATTGATGATACACAGTCATAAGAAATCGCTGTTTTCATTGGCAGATATCTTATTTTTGTATGAATATGCTACTAGTGTCATATACCCAGGCTAAAAAAGCAACATATTAGATTAACAAACATGATTTCGTCATCAAGAATAAATTGAAATGATACCATATTTAATATCCATTTTTGAAAAAAATGGCGTTCCGGGAGAATGCATATAACTTTTGAAGGAAAAGTGATGGAGACCTGCGGTTTTCACCATTTGAAAGAGGACATCACGGGACGTAGATATAGATCAAAATATGATTGGTCGGCAATCCACCAATCGCGTGAGTCATCG